TTGCATATAGGGTTATCATTACCATCTTTCTAAATTCCATATATATGTGTTAGTATACTGTATTGGTGTTTTTCTTTCTGGCTTACTTCACTCTGTATAATGGGCTCCAGTTTCATCCATCTCATTAGAACTGATTCAAATGAATTCTTTTTAATGGCTGAGTAATATTCCATGGTGTATATGTACCACAGCTTCCTTATCCATTCGTCTGCTGATGGGCATCTAGGTTGCTTCCATGTCCTGGCTATTATGAACAGTGCTGCGATGAACATTGGGGTGCACATGTCTCTTTCAGATCTGCTTTCCTCGGTGTGTGTGCCCAGAAGTGGGATTGCTGGGTCATATGGAAGTTCTATTTCCAGTTTTTTAAGAACTCTTCACACTGTTCTCCATAGCGGCTGTACTAGTTTGCATTCCCACCAACAGTGTAAGAGCATTCCCTTTTCTCCACACCCTCTCCAGCATTTATTGCTTGTAGACTTTTGGATAGCAGCCATCCTGACTGGCGTGTAATGGTACCTCATTGTGGTTTTGATTTGCATTTCTCTGATGATGAGTGATGTTGAGCATCTTTTCATGTGTGTGTTAGCCATCTGTATGTCTTCTTTGGAGGAATGTCTGTTTAGTTCTTTGGCCCATTTTTTGATTGGGTCATTTATTTTTCTGGAGTTAAGCTGCAGGCGTTGCTTGTATATTTTTGAGATTAATCCTTTGTCTGTTGCTTCGTTTGCTATTATTTTCTCCCAATCTGAGGGCTGTCTTTTCACCTTGCTTATAGTTTCCTTTGTTGTGCAAAAGCTTTTAAGTTTCATTAGGTCCCATTTGTTTATTTTTGCTTTTATTTCCAATATTCTGGGAGGTGGGTCATAGAGGATCCTGCTATGATTCATGTCGGAGAGTGTTTTGCCTATGTTCTCCTCTAGGAGTTTTATAGTTTCTGGTCTTACATTTAGATCTTTAATCCATTTTGAGTTTATTTTTGTGTATGGTGTTAGAAAGTGTTCTAGTTTCATTCTTTTACAAGTGGTTGACCAGTTTTCCCAGCACTACTTGTTAAAGAGGTTGTCTTTTTTCCATTGTATATCCTTGCCTCCTTTGTCAAAGATAAGGTGTCCATAGGCACGTGGATTTATCTCTGGGCTTTCAATTCTGTTTCATTGATCTATATTTCTGTCTCTGTGCCAGTACCATACTGTCTTGATGACTGTAGCTTTGTAGCAGAGTCTGAAGTCAGGCAGGTTGATTCCTCCAGTTCTACTCTTCTTTCTCAAGATTGCTTTGGCTATTCGAGGTTTTTTGTATTTCCATACAAATTGTGAAATTATTTGTTTTAGTTCTGTGAAAAATACCATTGGTAGCTTGATAGGGATTGCATTGAATCGGTAGATTGCTTTGGGTAGTATAGCCATTTTGACAATATTGATTTTTCCAATCCATGAACACGGTATGTTTCTCCATCTGTTTGTGTCCTCTTTGATTTCTTTCATCAGTGCTTTATAGTTTTCTATGTATAGGTCTTTTGTTTCTTTAGGTAGATGTACTCCTAAGTATTTTATTCATTGTGTTGCAATGGTGAATGGTATTGTTTCCTTAATTTCTCTTTCTGTTTTCTCATTGATAGTGTATAGGAATGCAAGGGATTTCTGTGTGTTAATTTTATATCCTGCAACTTTACTATATTCGTTGATTAGCTCTAGTAATTTTCTGGTAGAGTCTTTAGGGTTTTCTGTGTAGAGGATCATGTGAGAGTTTCAAACAAACTCTCACAAACAGCGAGAGTTTCACTTCTTCTTTTCCTATCTGGATTCCTTTTCTTCTTTTTCTGCTCTGATTGCTGTGGCCAAAACTTCCAAAACTATGTTGAATAGTAGTGGTGAGAGTAGGCACCCTTGTCTTGTTCATGATTTCAGGGGAAATGCTTTCAATTTTTCACCATTGAGGGTAATGCTTGCTGTGGGTTTGTCATATATAGCTTTTATTATGTTGAGGTATGTTCCTTCTATTCCTGCTTTCTGGAGAGTTTTAATCATAAATGGGTGTTGAATTTTGTCAAAGGCTTTCTTGGAAGAGCATTTTTCAAATGCCTTCTCTAAGGGAATAAGCTAATAAATGGAGAACCTGATCTGAACTGGGGTCTTCCCTATTATTCAGTCCATTGCTCCCTTCAGTTCTGTGCAGCATCTTACAGGTGCTACATCTTTTGTCTTGAAGGTGCAAAATGTGCATTATTTTGATTTAATTCTCTTAACACTCTGCAAGCCATAATCTTCATTTTCCTGGTTGGGAAATGGGCTCATAGAGGCTAAGTAACTTGTGCAAAATTACACAGAACAGTGGCAGGTAGCAGAGCTGAGGTACTCAGGTCTGCTTGACTCCCAAGCCTATTCTCTGTCCACTTAGCACATGGCATGATCCAGTCAGAGGGCAAAAGGCTGTAACTGGGGAATTGAAGTTCACTGTGGTAAGTGCAGGAATGAAATAGCAAGGGCAAGGAGTTGCTGGTTCTACAAGAAAGGAATGGAGGGAGCTGATCAGGCTGTGGGTCCCGTATGTCCTGATCATGCCCATATTATGATAGTCACTCACTCACTCATTCATCAGATATTTGGGGCCCTTTGATTTGCCACGGATACTAGTGGTGATTGATGAGAAAGACAAAGTTTTTGAAAAAGAAAACTCATAGTCAAAATCAAACCGAAACAGCTCATAGACTTTTTAGGAGAAGGGGGTAGAAGAATGAGTTATATCAATTGTGTCCATTTCTTCTTATAAGTGTTACAATAGAGCTAGTCCCGGGTACCACTAACCAGGCATGGAAAGTAAGCCAGCATCTCCCTCTCAGTTACAATGAGTCCCTCCCATCCTGACTGCTTCCCGGGCCTGCAGGGCGCCCGCAGAATCTCTTCTGCTGACCTCTCTGACCACCTGTCCTCTGCCACATGCACCTACTTCTGGTTCAAGATTGCCAGATTCCTTCCTGCCACTGGGCTTTTGCCCTTGTTGTTCCCACAGCCTGGCCTGCTCTTTCTCTGGAACTCTGAATCCGAGACTTAGCTCCAGTGACTCCTCCTCAAAGAGGCTTCCGTGACTGCCCTCGTAACTCACTTTTTGTCACATAATCCAATCCTCCCCCTCCTCCTTCTGGCACTAATCATGATCCAAAAGTCAGTATAGTTTGGTAGTCAAGAGCATGAACTCTGGAAGCATGTCTCGGCTCTGACATCACACTAGCTGAGTACCCTTGGGCATGTCACTTAACCTCTCTGGGTCTCAGTTTTCTCATCTGAAAATGGCGATAATGACAACAGTCCTCCTAATCTCCTGGAGCATCTATGGTGGGGGTTTTCTGAGTTTACCTGCATAAAGCATGGACAGTACCTGGCACTTAGCAGGTATGTAATAAAGCCAAAGTAAGTGAATCGTCTCATTTTCATTCATCCACGCAATACATATTGAGTTTGAATACATAGAGACAATAGGATGAAGGGCTAGAAATGCCACAGTGACCTGGCCAGGCACAGCCTCTGTCCTCAAGAGCTTACTGCCTGTCTGAACCACTTCCCTGTTGACACAGGTCTGCATTTCACTTGTAAACTTTTGCCTGGAGATCATCTAAACCTTTCCTCTTCATTCTAGTTTCTATCTCCCACTTCTTATCTTGGGATTCGTAGTACCCAGAAGGCACCCCTGCCTTATGATGGCTTGAGGTGACATGAAGATCTATGCATTTTTACACCCACATGATTTGTTCCTTGCAGTTGTGTTCTTTCCTTCAGGAGTCAGAATCAATTAGAGGCTTGGCTAGCGAGGCTCTGGTGAAAGCTCACCAAGGAGACAACAAAAGCAGCAGAAGAGTTGAAAGGTCTACCTCCTCGCTTCTGTTCTGGGGGCAGACTTTCCCCGAGTCCAACTTCTTCTCTCCTAGATTTTGCTTGTTGGAAGCCTTCCCTGACTTTCTCAGACAATGGCTCTTAAATAGGCCTTGTGCTCATCCCTACAGTAAGACTTTGTTCCATTGCAGGGTAACTGTCTACTCTCCTGTCTCCCCAGCTAGTCTGCATCACCATGAAGCCTAGGCCATCTCTTTGGTCTTCTTCTCCATTGTATCCTCCAGCCAGCAATACCTTCTTATTGTTGACAAATAGAGCCCTTTATGCACATACTGAACTTAGGTAGAGGATAAGAACCAGTAATGTGGGTAAATTAGGAGGCAGTGATTTATCTTTTGTTACAAAATGTCTATTTATGAAAGAAGTGTTTGCAGGGTTCCATTGAGTAGGACTTCCAGGTGTTGCTAGTGGTAAAGAATCTGCCTGTCAATGTAGGAGATGAAAGAGTCTTGATTTGATGCCTGGGTCTGGAAGATCCCCTGGAGGAGGAAATGGCAACCCATTACAGTATTCTTGCTGAGAGGATCCCATGGACAGAGGACTGGTGGGCCACAGTCCAAGGAGTTGCGAAGAGTTGGACATGGCTGAGTGTCTGGGCACAGCACATTGAGTAGGGAGTCAGGGTTATTGCTATTAAAAAACCCCCACATTTCAACAGCTTAATGCGCACAAACACACACAAAACTTTCTCAGTGATGGAACAGTTCAAGTGTTCAGTTAATAGCCTTCTAAATCTTGTGGCTTCACCATCCCTTATGCTCCTGGGGTCCTCTGTTAAGACTTCTGCATTTGGTTGGTAGATGGAGAGAGAGAGAGAAAGAAGACAGTCATTCAGGACAGTCACTCATCACTTCCCATCCCAGACCAGAACAGGGCTGCATGGCCTTTTCAGTTGCTAGGGAGCCTGGGGGAGGCAGTCTAGCTGGATATCCAGGAGGAGAGGCAAGTGTGTTTTGTGAGCACACAGCAGTCTCTGCCCTGGGAGCGTACCAGAGCCAGCTGGTCCTTGTGTAAAGTGATACGTGTGTCCGTAAATGACATGTGTGTCCACCGTGCAGTGGATCCCAGAAGGATGAAATTGCACTGATGTCTGCCATTCTGGCTTTGCAGGCGAACTCATGTGATCAAAATCTCAATCACTGCCTCGAACTCATTGAGCAAGTTGCCAAAGTGCAGGGGCAGCTCTTTGGGATCCTCACTGTAGCAGCCCAAGAAGGTGAGAACGGCCCCTGCGTCTCCCTCCGGCTCTCCCCTCTTCGCCCTCTGTTTCTTTTCCCTTCCCTTTGCTCTCTGCCTGGGTGGGTGTGGTTGGCTTTCTCTAGCTCACTGTGTCTGTGGACTCTTCCAGGAGGACATTATGATGGCGTGGAAACAATCAAATCGCGCCTTTTGCCTTGGCTGGAGGCCTCCTTCACAGCTGCTTCCCTGGGAAAACCTGTGGACAGCAAGGTCCCTTCTCTACAGGTAGGGATACTAAAGTGTCGTCCTCGGTGTTCAGCACCTCTTCAGGCTCTGGGAACTCAAACATACATAAGATAAGGCTTTTTACCTAGTGAGGGGCTCGGTTCTAGTTAGGGAACTGAGACATGGGTTGGAAAGGTGAGTTCCTATTTATCATAGTATGTGGCATAATGGATTAAGTTTTCTCTTAAGACAGATCAGTAATAAAATATCAGCCTTGCCTGCTTCCTGGTGGTATGGCTTCAATCAACTCAAGGAGCCTCTGCTTCCTCAGCTATGAAAAGGGCCTGGTGATGGTCTGTATTTGGGACATTGATGTACCCACTCTAGGCATTAAATAGTAACTTTTAAATGACAAGTTAGTCACCCTGACAGGGTACCACGGGGAGGGGAGGTGAGTCATAAGAGAAAGGGATCGTTAAAAGGGGGGCAGCTCAGTATTCTGAAAGAGTAAAATAAAATGAATTACCTAATTGGAAACTTCTCAGATAAGAAAACTCAATGCTGGTAGACTGATCAAGAGTGTCATCATTTGTGGTTGATGTATCAGTGGTTTCCACACAGTAGTGGTAGTGTTTTAACCGTTGAGGACCAGACTGAAAAGAGAACATGTACTTTGCTCAAGGCAGGGGCCCCCAACCTCCAGGATCTAATGCCTGATGATCTGAGGTGGAATCGATGTAATAATAATAGAAATAAAGTGCATGATAAATGTAATGCACTTGAATCATCCTGAAACCATCCCCCACCCCCAGGTCCATGGGAAAATTATCTGCTATGAAACTGGCCGCTGGAGCCAAAAAGGTTGGGGAGCGCTGGTAAGGCACGGGTATCACTGTGTCTGGATAAGCAAGACGTTGGTAACCTTGATTTTCAGTGTTTTTCGGATTTATATAAATGTCTTTCAAAAGATGAACCACTTAGATCAGGCTGTGCTCTAAGACCATAGCTGTGTTCTAAGACCTGTCCTAAGACCAGGCTGTGCTCTAAGACCATAACTGTGTTCTAAGACCTGTCCTAAGACCAGGCTGTGTTCTAAGACCATAGCTGTGTTCTAAGACCTGTCCTAAGACCAGGCTGTGCTCTAAGACCATAACTGTGTTCTAAGACCTGTTCTAAGACCAGGCTGTGTTCTAAGACCATAGCTGTGTTCTAAGACCTGTTCTAAGACCAGGCTGTGCTCTAAGACCACAGCTGTGTTCTAAGACCTGTTCTAAGACCAGGCTGTGCTCTAAGACCATAACTGTGTTCTAAGACCTGTTCTAAGACCAGGCTGTGTTCTAAGACCATAGCTGTGTTCTAAGACCTGTCCTAAGACCAGGCTGTGCTCTAAGACCACAGCTGTGTTCTAAGACCTGTCCTAAGACCAGGCTGTGCTCTAAGACCACAGCTGTGTTCTAAGACCTGTTCTAAGACCGTAGCTGTGTTCTAAGACCTGTTCTAAGACTAGGCTGTGCTCTAAGACCATAGCTGTGTTCTAAGACCTGTTCTAAGACCGTAGCTGTGTTCTAAGACCTGTTCTAAGACTAGGCTGTGCTCTAAGACCATAGCTGTGTTCTAAGACCTGTTCTAAGACCAGGCTGTGTTCTAAGACCATAGCTGTGTTCTAAGACCTGTTCTAAGACCAGGCTGTGCTCTAAGACTGTAGCTGTGTTCTAAGACCTGTTCTAAGACCAGGCTGTGTTCTAAGACCACAGCTGTGTTCTAAGCAAGAGGGCCTTATGAGGTAGTGGCTGGAGGATTCCTGCTTAGAGATCACGTGACAGAATCCTTGTCCACCTTCTAAGGTCCTAGGTAGATTGCCCAACCTATTAGGTCTCAGTTTCCTCAGCTGCTAAATGGGAGCAATGCTTTTGCTTACCTAATAGGGTCATTGTGAAAGTCAAATGTGATAAGCGTGGGAAAAAACTTACATGTAGGAAGTGCTCTGTAGATGTCAGTTTTCATTAAAGAAAGTTTTTACATGGGGGAAAAAATGTCTCTTAGATTTTTACCCCCTGTAGATGTTATTCTGGGTATAAAGATGTAGAATGATACTTCGGTGTCTTTTTAAAAAAATCTGAGGTATCACTTACCTGCAGTGAAAACCATAGGTTGATGAATTTTGACAAATGGATATATCCTTGTAATTCACATCCCTATTGAGATACAAAACATTTCCATTCCTTCAGCTCATTCCCTTGTGCCACTTCCCAGTTCTCTCCCTCTGCCCTTAGGGCAATCACTCTTCAGAATTTTATCGTTCTAGGTTAATTATGCTTGCACGGAAACTTCATGAAAATGAAACAATACATTATGTGCCCTTTTGGCTTGATTTCTTTTGTCTAGCATAATGTTTTTGCTGTGCATGTGGCTTCATGTTTTCAGACTCTGTTTTGATTTGTGTATCATTCCAGGATACATTCGATAAGGACAGACATAAAGAGCCTGGTATTTGGGACATACAACATTTAGATGCTGATTTGAGTGCAACTCGTAATCAACTCAACCAGGTTCAAGACGAGTAAGAGGAATGCAAGTTATTTTCCTTCAAAAAGAATTGCTTATTCTTAATATTTAAGTTTAAAAGGAAAATAGTGGCTCATGTAAAATGTAGATGTTTGCAAATGCGTAACATGATGTGTGTGTGTGAGCTGGGAGTCCGTGTCTCTGAATTCGGTGATGGGATTTCTATATTATGATCCCTAAGACTCTGCCTCCCTTGGCTCCATTCCTGAGGTTCCTCCTCCTTCATAGGCCCACTGTCAGTTCATACGTATAAAAAAGAAAGACTGTAACATGCAAATCTACCTTTGGGAAGGAAAATAAGAAAAGATGCAGACAGGAAAAGAGTGAAAGATCAGCTAAAGAGAAAAAATAAGAGAAAGAGAGAAAAAGTAAAATGAAGCAGTCTGCATCTGTCAGTTAAGCTCTATGTATGCCTGACTAAGAAGCATTCAAGATTTTGGAATAATTTTGAGATACAAAAGTGTAATTTGAAAAAGTTAAGTAATGTCAGGCAATAACAGACCTCAGATGTATGCTGTGTGCAAAGCCAGGGTAGCAAGCTCAAGGAATCACTGCAATGAAAATTGCAAACTCTGGGTTTGTACTTGAGGGAGATAGACAAATGTGATGCAACTGCTTTCAACTTATCTAACAAAAATCCATCAAAAGATATTTCTCTCACCGCAGCATTGCTCCATAGCTGACCTGCAGAGGGCAGCAAAGGATTCTTTTGTCACTAGTTAGGGCTTATGAAAAGAATAAAGAATCTGCCTACAATGCAGAAGACTGGGTTCGATCCCTGGGAGTGGAAGATACTCTGGAGAAGGGAATGGCAGTCCTCTCCAGTATTCTTGCCTGGAGAATCCCATGGACAGAGGAGCCTGGCAGGCCACAGTTCGTGGGGTTGCAGAGTCGAACACGACTGAGCGACTAACACACTACACAGGGCTTATGATGGAATACCGTGTGGCCTTCTGGCTTGTTCTCTGCTGAGATTTCCTTCTAAAGCAAACATCTCTATTGATCAATTGATTTAGTTTTTCCCAATTATAAAAGTTATACACATTTCCTTCTCAAGATACATATAATAAGAGTACAAAGGTGAAAATCATCTATTAGTTTATGCCTATTAGCATTTTTTGCATATTTTACTCTAGATATTTTTCCTTTCACACACACACACACACACACACACACACAGAGTTACCTCCCCACACACTTATTTTTCCAATTGGAACCATTGTCAGCAGTTTTATAGCTGCAGCAGTCAAAATTTACAAATGTAGTGTGCACAATGCATAAATTCCTTTGAATTTCTATGACTTAATTCAACTAATGTCAACTAATTTGGAGAGGGGTAAGGAGGAGCCTTAACGCTGCCTCTTCTTTTCTGGTTTATCGCAGTTCTTTTTGTGTAAATCTTCAGTTAATTCCAAGTTCGGACTTCTGTTAGGGGCTGTGTTTGCCCTCTCAAGGGGTCTCACTGTCCTCTTCCTTCCTTAGGCGGCTGTCCAGGGGTGGAGGGGTGCGTTTGTGCTCTCCTGGTGCTGGAGGAGAGGGGTTTTGGGTCTTCTACTTCCCTCTGGCTTCTTGCTGCCTTGGTTCTGCCTGGGCACTAGAGTTTTGTGCTGATGGATGCTGAGTTGTGGCTTGTTGGTTAGGCTTCCTGGGGCATTTGATGGCCTCTGCTGCTGCCTCTGGTTATGAGGCAAATCTTTGTGACCTTTCTGGTTCTTGACTTCAGGCAGCACCCATAGGAGCCAGGAATTCCTACCTCCCTCTCTTGTCACCATAGTTGTGTAGTTACCCATAAGAGGTATCATGGACCAAAAGCTATGACTGCATGAATTTTTTTAAAAAAGTGTTTATCTGGAAATAATGTCAAATACAGAAAATTTGCAAGAATAATACTCAAAACAGCCATGTACCCTTTCATATGCCTTCTGCCCTGTTTACTTTATCATTTGTACTTATGCTCTGTGTGTACACTCCCCTCCCCCATTTGAAAGTTGCACACAGTAAAGTGCTTCTTTTTTCCCCTAAATTTCCTACTTTTGTTTTGGTTTAACCTATTTGAGGTTCATATTCTATTTCTCAAGGCATCAGAAATGATGGAGGCTGTTCTATGGTAGCCAGCTCTCTCCCCCACTGTTCCACTTCCCTGTCTCTCAATCCAGGATGCTCTCTACTGTGGAATGAAGGGCCCATCCAAGGAGGTTCCCAGGTCTAACCTTGTGGAGTCCAGTTTGGGTGTGACTCAGTTCCAGAGGAGCCAGTTCCAATAGAAAGGGGACAGGTCTGCCCAGGTTTGATGAGCTCTAGACAAGGGAAGACCACTAGATTTTATGCTGGGGCTCTGGTTAGAAGCCTCACGTGTTCTCACTTCCCATGTCCAGTCTATTAGAGGACCCAGTGGCATCTGCCCCCTAAACATCTCTTGCACACGCTCCTTTCTAGACTGCCTCTGCGGCTCTCAGTCACTCCTCCACAGGCACTCGCCTCTAACACTTGCCTTCCACCTGGCTGCCCTGGGTCTGTTCTTGCTCTGCTACCATCCATTTTCCACACAGGAAATAGAGATATATTTTTATTATAGCCAGTAACTCCCCCACATCCAGCTTAAAGCCTCTTAGTCACCCCTTTTTGTACTTAGAAAAAAAATTCTAAATTCCTTCTCAGAGCTCTCCCAGCCCTGTGTGATCTGACCCTCCCTCTCGCTCCATCCTCATCTCACACCAGGCTCCCCTCACCCAGGCTTCCCTCTGCTTCCTCACCTCACAGGCCTTGCCTGTGTCCTTTCAGAAAAGCAGAAGTCTTCTGCTGGTTCTTTGCAAGACTAGCTTTTTCTTGTCTTCCAGGTCTCAGCTTAAGTGTGACTTAAATGCTCCAGAGGGTTACCATCCTGTATCACTATTCTGACACTTGTATATTCAGCACCCAGCATCGTGCCGGCACATAATAAATTCTCAATAATTTGCTCAATGAATGAATAAATCTATAACGAAAAATAAATATGTTAGCCTGTTTAAAACAATGCTTGTCACATGAAATGTACCCCCTTTCTTCTTTCTGTATATCATCCAAGGGGGCCAAATTAGCCCTCTTGCCCCCTTTGTTCGTATGCATATTAGCTCACACACATGGGCCGGGTCTTTTTAAATTGAAGTGTAGTTGATCTACAGTGTCGTGTTGGTTCCTGCTGTATGGCGGTGTGATTCAGTTACACATATACACACACGCATTCGTTAACACGCTCTTTTCCGTTTTGGTTAATCACAGAATATCAACTATAAGTCCCTGTGCCGCACAGTAGGAGCTTGCTGTTTGTCGGTTCTGTATACAGCAGTTTGCACCTGCCAACCCGACTAGTCCTCCCTCCCCCACCCTCTCTCCTATGCCTTGTCTTGAGACAAAAAGCAAAAAAAGCAAACGAAAAATCATTACTGTTCCTACTCTTCTCCCTTTCTTGGTCTATTTTCTTCTTTTAATATTCCACAATTTTCTCTTGGTAAAAGTGTTCATTTTCCCATATATACTTTAAAAAATCTATAACATATTCACGTTTAAATTAAATCATAGTAATTTCCTTTTAACTGCCAACATCCCTATTATGAAGTTATTGCTACTTTGGTGTTAGTTTAGACTTTAGGCATTTCATTGTTTCACTCATTCATTTTTTTTTTTTAATCTACTATATGACAGGCACTGTTTAACGTGCTAGGGATAAAGAGATCAATAAAATAGACTCTTTGCCTTTCAGTAGTTCACAGTTTGTTTGTAATGAGATTATAGAAGTGAACAACTGTGGGAAGAGCTCAGAAGGGGAGACAAACTTTGCCTGAGTTAGACCTGGCCTTTGGAGAGGTATTCATGGATGAGTGGGCGTTTGTTGGAGGAGAAGGATATAAGATGGGATTTGGGGAAACTCACACCACTTCTTCAATTTCCTCATTGCCTGGGACCAGTGGGGACTTGATAGGAATCTGGCTAGCCCATTATTTCTCAGTCTGCCTCGCTGTATAGGGGAGGCCAGAGTTTGACCTTCCATTCTTCTGCCCCAGTGTAAGGGGGAAGACTGGTGTAAATTTGGATAGCAGTTGCAATCTCTTGTTCTCAGAACTACTGTGATGAAAGAGACAGGGTGTTCCAGGGATGTAGAGTCAGAGATGTCCGGAAACCTTTGCTATGATCTGTCGCTGTACGAGGATAGCTTCACTGAGAACCATTGGTCCTTGTCCAGTGGCATCCATCGCATTCTCATTTCCTTTAATTTAGACCTAAAGAAACAGTATGATTTATTATGATTTGCCTACAATGAGAGGAGTCTTTGAAACTAACAATGACCAAACTAGGTTGAAAATGCAAGAAAATTGTGCTCAATTAGTGGTGGAAGTCAGAGGCAGGAACACATGAGATACTTGGTAGGTGAGTGTAATTGTGAAAGACTTTCTTTATAGGTCGGCAAATAATTTTTTTATATTTAGTAAGTCCAGGAAAAATTAAGTCAAATACAATGCTACAGTGCAAAATAATAAGAATAGGTATTAATATATTACAGAAAAATGGAGATTTTATTGAGAGAAGCAACCTGGGGATTTGGTGTAATTAGAGAAGATGAATTAGGAGGGTGAGATGAAGAGATTGAACAAGTTTCTTTGTACTTTACATTCTAATATCAGTAATTATTATGTAGTCTTGTAGGGGTAGTAGCACTGAGATTTCTTTGTGTTTGACATTGAGGAAAGATGCTAGCATGTTTTTGCATACCATTGTGCCATAATATTTGTAATATCATCTGATTGAATGCAGATGTCTTATAATTTGTTCTTGTTTATGTTGAATTTATAGCGTATGGCAAAAGTTCCCCAGAGAAACTATGCCTTAATTTAAAAAGTCTGCCAGTTTTGGAAAGTCTGTCTTTAGTTACTGATTTCTCTTACAGTATGGCTGAGACTGAAAAGACTCTTGAAGAACCCAAGAACAGATCTGCCATATCCCTTTTGGCTGCAGAAGAGGAAATAAATCAGCTGAAAAAGCAGTAAGAAAAAAAAATGCCAGGATTACTGCAGGCTGCTAATTAATCTTTGAATTAGCGTTTTTGGTGCTCCATGACAATACAAAAGAATCTGTCCACAAAGAAGAGAGGCAGCAATATTTTTATTAATATTTTATATACTTTTCTTATTACGAAAGCAGTCAGTTCAGTTCAGTTCAGTCTCTCAGTCATGTCTGACTCTTTGTGACCTCATGGTCTGAAGCACGCCAGGCTTCCCTGTCCATCACCAACTCCCAGAGTTTACTCAAACTCATGTCCATTGAGTCAGTGATGCCATCCAACCATCACATCTTCTGTTGTCCCCTTCTCCTCCCACCTTCAATCTTTCCCAGCATCAGGGTCTTTTCAAATGAGTCAGTTCTTCACATCAGATGGCCAAAGTATTGGAGTTTCAGCTTCAGCATCAGTCCTTCCAATGAATATTCAGGACTGATTTCCTTTAGGTTGGACTGGTTGGATCTCCTTGCAGTCCAAGGGACTCTCAAGAGTCTTCTCCAACACCACAGTTCAGAAGCATCAATTCTTTGGTGCTCAGCTTTCTTTATAGTCCAACTCTCATATCCATACGTGACCACTGGAAAAACCGTAGCTTTGACTAGATGGACCTTTGCTGGCAGTGTCTCTGCTTTTTAGTATGCTGTCTAGGTTGGTCATAGCTTTTCTTCCAAGGAGCAGTAGTCTTTTAATTTCATGGCTGCAGTCACCATCTGCAGTGATTTTGGAGCCCAGGAAAGTAAAGTCTGTCACTGTTTTCCATTGTTTACCCATCTATTTGCCTATCTACTATAGAAAATCTTCAAAACATAGTAGAAAGGAACCAAAAACCTCTCATAATTCCAGAGCCAGTTCACTGTCACCATCGGATATTTCTTCCAATTAGTTCATTAAAAATAAAGACAACAAAATATATATGAGTTGTGGACCTCATTTTTTCATTTAATATTTTTCTCTATTACCAAGAAAAAATAAAGCAGAGCTTAGTTTTAAATAAATCCATCATATTTCCTCATTTGAGTATTTCCCTAATATTAAATATTTACTTTGATGCCAATTTTCAACATTAGAAATAATTTTTTTGTGGCAAATCTTAGTTTAAATTTCAGATTGTTAGTCTCTAAAGATAAATTTCTAGAAGGGGAAAATAAACACTGATCCTTTAAGGTTGTACCTTTTTAAATCTTAACTTTGATTTCCCCCCCAAAAGAGCAGTAGTAAGATACATATATACACATTTCTATGTTTTCATACATGTTCCAATTGTTCTGATTTCTTTAGGAACACCCATAAATTTTAACTTGCAGCACTGCTCTGCCTTCCACTTCTAACTCCCCTCTCACCATCATTTCAATCTCTTATTTTTCTAGCTGATAAAGCTTCTCAAATTCTTTATCTCCTATTACTCAGCAATTCTTATAGCACCTACTCTGTTCTTCACGGTTTCTAGGGCAGCGTTTAATTCTGCTACTGCATTTTCAACTCCTCTGTATCCTTCTTAATCTCACCCCTTCCCTTTTCTTCTCACACCATTGTCATTTTCATCACACCGTGTTATCTCCTTATGACTTTTTCTCCCTGGTATGATGGTCACACCTCTTTGTGTGTACTGAGGATGCCCATTTTATTTCTAAAGCTTTGCTCCTTTCCGTAGTACATTATTTTTATAGGTCCACACATCTGCTTAGTGTTGTGGATGTTATTCAATTTCCAGTGAAGTCCCCCACGCCCCCCACATTCTGAACACTAGTGAGAATAGATCACGTCTTGACCAGCTTCTGGAGTAGGTTTTGGAGGTCACTTCTTCCAGAGTTTTGTGCAGTGAAGCCATCAAATATAGAATAGGATGACTCTGCATTGCCTCTGCAAGGATTTCATGACTCTGCCCACAGCTTTGGCTAGAAGATTTGCACACCTATCTTTTCTTCAGGAGCTTTCCCATGCAAGCTGCAGACACGGTGTGGTTCCCTACCCTGGCAATTCTGTTAATTTGTTCTTGTTCCTATTTCCATGAGTTTTCCAAGGCAATAATGCCACACTAAATAGAGTAGCCTCCTTAAGTATGCCAATTGCAGTTTATCACCTTTCCTCCATCTCTACCTCTCTCTTTCAAACCTTTGTTTCTGTTCAGGCTTAAATCTCTTCAAGCCCAGGAAGAATCCCGCCACAGAAACTCAGATCGTAGGAGATCAGAGAAGCGGGGCTCCGAGCGGAGGAGAGTGGAGCTGCGGGGTTCGGAGCAGTGGGTCTCTGACCTGGACAAGCGGAACGCAGAAGCCGTGTGCGATTATGAGAAACAGCTCCGAACGCTGAAGGACGAGATAGCTGTTCTGTCTGCTGAAAAATCTGTACTCCAAGGAAGGTCTGACAAACTCTCGCTGATCTTTTCATTTCAGCCCCTTTTTGCCAAGTTAGTGATCAAAGCCCGGCTTGGTAAAGGAAAAAAACAAAAGTAAAATGATATCCTGAACCCGAACCCCAACAGTATGGAAAATTTTGAACTGTAGAAGGCTGGTTTCTCTAACTGCTCCCTTCCAGAGAGAAAATACCTCCTGGATTTACAATACTTGGGCACTAGTTAATTTCAGACTGACACCGAAACTTACAGAATGGAACTGAGATGTGCAAAAGAAAGTTTGTGGCTTGAAACCAGATTTGAGTGCCTATAATGCAAAAGGCAGTACTTGTGTTGAAACACTTGATACCTGTGTTGAAACACTGTTCATGATAGGAGGGTCCTGTTCTCTGAGTCCTAGGAGTCCTCTCTCCAGAGATGACCCAGTGTCACTTTACTGCCAGGCATTTCCTTTTTACATCTCATTTTGTCAGGTGGGGTATGTAGGTAAGGGAACGTGAAATTGCCTTCTACTGATGGACAAAATGTTAAGACAGGTCATTCAGTGTTAAGTGAGGTCAAAGCAGGATGTTTCTCTGCCTTTTCTTGTGCTCACACTTCCCTCTTCCCTGCCAGCCCCACAGGGTGCCCAGATTCAGGCTAACATCAAAGCCACGCCTACCCCAGCTCTCCATTTCCCTATATGTCGCCTTAATCTTTCATTCTGGGGAATCGCTCCATCAGTGTGGTGCAGGTGCCAGCTTGTACTAGCTCCTGGGGACTGATTCTGTGCATTTCTACCTAGCTCCAGGTTCAGGGACATCACATGAATAGTTTGAAATTGCCTGTGGTGAGAGTGCTTGTTGCACTGGGGAAATTGGCAAACACGATAAGTGACGGCTCCACCCACCTCCACCTTCCACCTTCAGAGAGGCTGCCTTGCATTGCTTTTTGCCCCACCTTTTGCCCCATAGTTCCTTCTACAAAACTTTCCCTTAGGATTAGCTTTTCTAATCATTTATTATGTACTTGGTAGCAATATATAATACCTTTCACTGACACAATGCTTTCGATTCACCAAGTACCTCCCCATATTCTTCCAACCCCCACCACCATCCTAAAATAGGGCACAAATTATGTAGGTGAAAATGGAGGGTCTGGAGAGGAGACATGACTGCAAATGGTTTCACTGTTATAGAAGGAGAACACATTTTCTTTCTCACTGTTCAATCTGTTTATCTCATTTTATACCAGAAAGCTCAGTGATGTGTCAGTCGCTGGAGGTCAGGGTAAGAAATCTGACTTCTTTAACTCTGGCTCTTGCTAGCTGTGTTACTCTAGGACAGCCCTCATAGCATTTATGAGCCTCAACCTCCTCATCTGTAAAACGGCCAGCAATCACTGCTGACCTTACCTGGCTATTTGGAGGGTAAACTGATGTGCTGAGTGAGTGAAAGTGAGTTATAAATTCTAATGCATCAGGCAAATATAGAGTACTGTTTTTCCTTTGTGGAGACACAGTGCCTCTCACAGGGAGCTGCTCTCCTTGCCTCTGCCTCCGGTGGCTTCTGGTTTCTGGGGGGAGAAGCAGCTGGAGTGTAGGAACAAAAGGGAGGAGGGAATCGGAGCGCTTCCCTGCCTGATTCTGGTTCACCAACAGGTCCGCCAGGAGCCGGTCTCCCAGCCCTGCCCCTTGCAGCCGCAGTCACAGCCGCAGCCGCAGTCACAGCCGCAGCCACAGCCACAGCCGCAGCCACAGCCGCAGTCACAGCCGAAGCAGATCGGCCAGCCCCTCCTCTGCCAAGGCCAGGACCCCGTCCCCGAATCGCGCCAAACTGTCCAGCGTGGCGCGCAAAGCCGCCCTGCTCTCCCGGTTCAGCGATGCCTACTCCCAGGGCCGCCTGGATGCGCAGTGCCTGCTGCGGCGCTGTATCGACAAGGCCGAGATGGTGCAGCGGATCATCTACATCGCGACCGTGGTGCGTGAGCCCCGCCGTGGGTCGCTGCGCTTCCGTGGTTCCCGTTCCCGGGCAGAGCGGGCGGGAAACCTGGGTAACCGCAACAGGACGCTCCAGAAGTGCCTGAGGTCACTGAAGCGGGGTGGGCTTCCGCTTCCTCCCTCCCTCCCTTCCTCTTTCCCCTTCTCTGTTCTTTCTTTTTCTCTCCTTCCTTCTTACTCTCCTTCCATCCACCTATTACAAATATTTGCGATGAATTATTTTTCACACTAAGTAGCATTTTCTTATGGGCTTCCCTGGTGGTTCAGTGGTCAAGAGCCCACCTTCCAATGCAGGTTTGATCTCTGGGTAGGGAGGATCCCCCGGAGAAGGAAATGCCAACTCACTCCAGTATTCTTGCCTGGGAAATCCCATGGACAGAGGAACCTGGGGCGGGGCGGCCGGGGAGAAGGGGTGCTACAGCCCATGGGGTTGCAAAAGAGTTGGACACAACTTAGCGACTAAACAACAAAAACAAACATTTGATTGGTTATCTTCCATTCTTAGAAAAATCATAAAGCCCTGAATATTTTAACTCTTTTTTTAATGTAACGAAGAGCAGTTACTGAAATTGCTAATATAACAGCTATTTGAATATGGAAAATTAAGGAGTGCTTATATATAATCTTCAGTTCTATGGGTACCATACTGAGAAACTAAGAGCTTGTTATGAGAACAATTAAATATTACAAAACAAAACAAAATATTGGTGTAAGAGAAGAATTACCAGAATATTTTGAATTTTATCCTATGTTTATTATATATTAGGAGTCAGCAAACTATGACATAATGTTCTCTTACTTCTTGACCACTAATATGATCATGCTGTGGGGACAAAGCATCAACTGGCATACTTCAAGTATTTATGTAACCACAGGTGATTTTATTTCCTTGAATGCCTGCCTCGTCCTGATTCTTGAAATCAGGGTTATCAGAACAATTATCAACTATCTCAAAATTAGTGAATATAGGTAATCTAATAGATGATGGATAGAACATGTATTTACGCACTTTCCAAAATTTAGTTGTGTATTTTCTCCCAGATTAAAAATAGTTTTGACTGCTGGGTTTAGTTTTCAGAAGTCCAATATGATGCTGAATTTTTTGGGGTATTCTTTCTTTGTTCCTTGCTTTGGACCTCTTTACTCCTCTCCTCCCACCAAATACATTGGCTGTATTTTATGTGCAGGAGGCATTCCATGTGGCCAAAATGGCATTCAGACACTTCAAGATCCGCGTGAGGAAATCACTGACACCATCTTGCGCAGGGTCAAATGACTTTGAGGATGCTGTCTCGGATTATATCATCTGTCATCTTGATCTATATGATTCCCAAAGCAGTGTTAATGTAAGTGTTGGGTCTTTTATTGGGACTGGTTTGCTACAGCTGCTGCATTGAATGCTAATAACTGAGAAATCCATCCAGTGCTTACTGTCACTTCTGATAGCTTATGGTGAACGATGTCGGATTTGTGATCTCTGAAGAAGATTTAACTTTGGGACCAGGGATCAGGCTTGATCACTCAAGAACTTTTGTGCAGCAGAGTTTTATTAAAGTATGAAAACGGACAGAGAAAGCTTCTGACATAGACATCAGAAGGGGGATGAAGAGTGCCCTCCTCGCTAGCCTTAGCGAGGCCTTATATACTTTTATCAGACCCACTCCCACAACATGCATCTTAAATTGGTTTTTCCAGTTGTCATGCGTGGATGTGAGAGTTGGACTATAAAGAAAGCTGAGTACCGAAGAATTGATGCTTTTGAACTGTGGTGTTGGAGAAGACTCTTGAGAGTTCTTTGAACTGCAGAGAGATCCAACCAGTCCATCCTAAAGCAGATCAGTCCTGAATATTCATTGGAAGGACTAATTCTGAAGCCAAAACTCCAATATTTTGGTCACCTGATAAGAAAAACTGACTCATTTTAAAAGACCCTGATGCTGGGAAAGATTGAGGGCAGAAGGAGAAGGGGACGACAGAGGATGAGATGGTTGGATGGCATCACTGACTCAATGGACAGGAGTTTGAGCAAGCTCCAGGAGTTGGTGATAGACAGGGAGCCCTGGCGTGCTGCAGTCCGTGGGGTTGCAAGGAGTCGGACATGACTGAGTGACTGAACTGAACTGAACTGAACCAGACCCACTCCCACAGTATACAAGTTTTAAGATAACAAGATTGGTAAGAAGGTTCTTGTTAAGGAGAAACATATCCTTGAGCAAGATACATTGTTATATTGACTAAGACCAAGCAATGTAGAAAAAAATGTTTGTCCTTTTCTCCTCCTGGAGAGCCTTGGACCCCTTGCTCCTCCTCGGGAGCCCCAGACTTCTTATCAACCTGCCTAGGGATTGACTCTCTCACTTCTACGAACATAATGGAAGAGCAGGAGTGAGCAGCATCCAATGTACTCTATAGAACCAGTCATTATTGGCTGTTTCTTTCTTAGACATTTTATGAGGAAAGTATTTTGAGCTTTGTAGTTCTATTCTTCAGACAGGACCTTAAGATTGGAAGACAGGATATCATAGTGGTTAAGAGCAATGATTTTGGGAAAGATACTTATGGATTTGCATCCTGGCTCTGCCACTTACTAGCTGTGCGACCTTGCACATTTACTTAACTTTCCTGTACTTAGACTTCCCTGGTGGCTCAGATGGAAAGCGTCTGCCTACAATGCAGGAGACCCAGGTTCAATCCCTGGGTTGGGAAGACCTGGAGAAGGAAATGGCAACCCACTCCAGTATTCTTGTCTGGAAAATCCCACGGACAGAGGAGCCTGGTAGGCTACAGTCCATGGTGTTGCAGAGTCGGACATGACTGAGCGACTTCACTTTCACTTTCTGTACTTAGATTTTCTAATCCTTAAGTGGGAGCAACAATGGTCATGACCCCACAGAGTTTGTGAGAGGATTAAATGAAAGGAAGCAGGTAATTTTCTTAGCAAAAAATACTCTCAATAAGAGCAAGATTATAATTGTTGGGCTTCCCATGTGGCTCAGTGGCAACTCTGCCTGCCAATGCAGGAGTTGTGGGTTCTGTCCCTGGGTTAGGAAGTTCCCCTGGAGAAGGAAATGGGAACCCACTCCAGTATTCTTGCCTGAAAAATCCCATGGCAGGCTACAGTCCATGGGTCTCAAAGAGTCAGACACGACTAAGTGACTGAGCCTGAGCGATTATAATTGGTATTATTATAGATTATGAACAAGGCAGAGTTTTGTGCTGGCAATCATATAACTTGCCCAGAATAGAAAAATAGTAGGAAATAATAAATAAAAGCTATTAAGAGTTTTTACTTTAGTTTTTTTGGGAAGACTTCCTTGGCCTTTAGTATGTCATTTGTTCTCTGTCATCTTTCCTCCTCCTCTGTTAGGGAGTCTTCCTCCTTTCAGCACACGCACTTCTCTTCTAGTTTACCTTATTTTCACTCCTGTGCCCCTTTCCCATCTCCCATCAGTCATCACGTCCTTAGGGGTTGTCAGTGTATCTTTCGCCGGTTGGTTACAAGATGATGCCATCTTTTTGTTTTTCAGGATGTGATCCGAGCCATGAATGTCAATCCCAAGATTTCATTCCCTCCTGAAGTTGACTTTTGCCTCCTCAGTAACTTCATCCAGGAAATATGTTGCATTGCCTTTGCAATGCAGACTTTAGAACCACCCCTAGATATTGCATTTGGGGCCGATGGAGAAATTTTTAATGATTGCAGGTAAGAGACATAGAAGCAGAAGCTAAGAGATTGTTTGTAAATAAATGATATTGTCTTTATTTCATGGGAACAATTTAGGGAAAAGAACTCTGGGTGGGGAAATCCCCAGACATTACGTGATTTCCAAGCCCTGCCATGTACTCTGAACTACAGTGGGGGGACTCTCCTGGGGTCATTTTCCTTCTTGGTCAAATGTGATTCAGAGGGGACCTTATGATTCCCATTGAGTGTATTGGTTCTGGGGAGAACTAAGGAGCACCTGGGCTCTGGAACACTTTAAAAGAAAAGTGCTATATAAATACAAACGTGTATTACTTTTTATTGTCTAAAAATTTTTATTGAGATATAATTGACATTTAATGTCATATGAGTTTCATGTCTACAACATGATTCTATATTTTTATATATTGTGAAATGATTACCATGAAAAGTCTACTTAGCATCTGTTACCATACATAGTTACAAAAAATTTATTTCTTGCAATAAGAACTTTTAAGATCTATTCTCTAAGCAACTTTCAAATTTGAAGTACAGTATTATTAACTATATTGTTAACAATTATACCTCTGCGTGACTTATTCTGTAACTGAAAGTGTGTCCCTTTTGACCTCTCTAACCCGTTTTGCTCACCCCCTACCTCTGACAACCACTGGTCTGTTCTTTGTACCTGTGAGCTTGGTTTTTGTTTGTTTTAGATTCCACTATAAGTAAGATTGTATGATATTTGTCTTTCTCTGTCTGACTTATTTCATAATGCCTTCTAGGTCCATCCATGTTATCTCAATTGGCAAGATTTCATTCTCTTTTTATAGCTAAATAGTATACCATTGTATATATACTACAACTGCTTTAACCATTAATTCATCATTGAACACTTAAGTGTCTATCTTGGCTATTGTAAATAATACTGCAGTGAACATGGGGATGCATATATCTTTTCAAGTTAGAGCTTAGTTTTCTTTGGATAAATACCTAGAAGTGGAATTCCTGGATCATACGGTAATTCTGCTTTTAATTTTTTGAGAAACCTCCATAGAGTTTTTCTTTTTTCTTTCTTTTTTTTTTTATCGTATAGTTTTTCATAACGGCTATACCAATTTACATTCCCATCAAGGGCACAAGGGTTCCTTTTCTCCAAATCCTTGCCAGCACTTCTTATCTTTTTGATAACAACTCTTCTAACAGGTGTGAGGTGATAGCTCATTGTGATTTTGATTTCTCTGTGATTAATGGTGTTGAACATCTTTCCATATATCTGTTGGCCATCTGTATATCTTCCTCAGAAAAATGTCCATTCAGATCCTTTGCCTAACTGACTGCTGAGAAGTATTCACCCATTTTGGTCTGTGGAATCTGCTCATTTCACAGACTTCTGGCAGGCCTGCTGCTTATATACATACCTGCTGTAACATGCTGTCTCTTGGGGCACTGTGGCCTGTTCTCTTGGATGGCTGTGAGCTCAAACTGGAGTTCCTAATAATGACTGAATTTATTTGGTTCTACCCTAGGGTTTTACAGAACAAGACTAAACCTTTTTTTCTTTGTTTGTTTTTATTCTTACCCTGATAGCCTTTCACACATTTGAAATCAATTATTCATCCTTCTCCAGCCTCATGGTTTTAGATTTTTTTCATTTGAAGGGATTTTTGAGACTTCACATTTAGACTGGTTTTCTTGGTTTGTGCTCCATGTTTGTCTGAGTATTCCTTTAAAAAAAAAAAGTGTCCACACTTACATATATACATGGAATATTGCTCAGTCATAAAAAGGAACACATTTGAGTCAGTTCTGAAGAGGTGGATGAATCTAGAGCCTGTTATACAGTGAAGTAAGTCAGAAAAAGAAAAGCAAATACCATACACTCAGGCATATATATGGGATCTAGAAAGATAGCACTGATGAGCCTATTTGCAAGGCAGCAGTGGAGATGCAGACATGAACAGACTTATGGACAAGGGCGGAGGGAGGAAGGAGAGGATGAGATGAATGGAGAGGGTGGCATGGAAGCATATACACTACCATATGTAAAATAGAGAGCCAGTGGAAATCAGGCTCACACTGAGTCTCTGTAACAACCTAGAGGGGTGGGAAAGGGTGGGAGGTAGGAGAGAGACTCAGGAGGGAGGGGACATATGAACACCCATGGCTAACTCATGTTGATGTATGGCAGAAGTCAAACCAATATAGTAAAGCAGTTATCTTTCAATTAAAAGTAAATAAAAATTTTAAAAAGGGTCCACATTGAATGTAAACCCCAAATTTGAACTGACCAGACTAGAGGGGCTAACACCATTTTTATTCTCTATTAAGTCTTCTAATTTATAGTAGCTTTTCTTTTTTTTTGAGCCATAGAACACTGTTGACTCATTTTGAGTTCAACTAAACCTTTTTTTTTTTTACTTTTACTGTGATTGAGCCAATCATCTGTGCAGTTACATGCTTTTTATTTGTTAAAAATTTATTTATTTTTAATTGGAGGACAATTGCTTTACAATATTGTGTTGGTTTCTGCCATACATCAACGTGAATCAGTCATAGGTATACATACGTCCCCTCCCTCCTGAACCCAGTTACATGCTTTTAAGACTCAACTGCAGGACCTTATGTTGTTATCTTAGTAGATTTAGCTTATTATAGTTCCAACCTCTTAAACTGTTTTTTTTTTTTTTTTTGATACAGTCATCTGTTTCTTTTTCCCTACCCACTCCCCACCTTTGAACATTTTTCCTGTATTTCATGGGAGTCATTGATGAACATATTGACTTACCCCAGGATTGAGAGAGAGAGAGAGAGAGAGAGAGAGAGAGTGAGCCCTGGGCACCTTCTTTTTCACTGACCCATTAACTACCCATTTTGGATATGATTATTGAACCAGTGTCTAATCTACCTACTTAAGTTAATCATCCACCTATATTTCTCTTATTTTGTCCACAAAGATAACATAATAAATCTTGTAGGTGGCTTATGGGACTTCAGATGCTCTCCATCTCTAGCGTTTCCCTGAATTACAGTTCTTGTAATCCTGAGAAGGAACAAGATTAGTCTGACATGACTTGAGTTTTTCTTGTTGTTGTTATTGTTAATTTTAAAAATTGAAATACAGTTGATTTGCAATGCTGTGTTAGGGCTGCTCCGTTGTACAATGGATAGCACACTGGACTTCCACAATGTTGTGTTAATTTCTGCTGTACATCGTAGTGATTCAGTTATACATATATATGCATTTTAAAAAATATTCTTTTCCAGATGGTTTATCATAGGGTATTGAATATAGTTCACTGTGCTACACAGTAGGACATTGTCATTTATCCATCTACACGTACTAGTTTGCATCTGCTAACAGCAACCCCCCACTCCACCCCTCCCCTAACCTCCTCCCTCTTGGCTGTTCTCTATGATATGACTTATTCTTAGTGAGCTCATGTTGGGTCCTTGTTATAACTGGTTCCTATTCTAGGAGCCCACAACTATCTCTTTAATAATAGAATCAGGATCCATATTTATCTAGGTTTGAACAGAATAAAAGATGAAAATTTTACACTGATGACCCTCCCCTCCCAGTTAGGCTACATAACTGCTTAACCTCTCTTGCTTGTTCTTTTATGTGTTCGTAATAGGTACCGTCGAAGCTATGACTCCGATTTCACGGCTCCCTTGGTCTTCTATCACGTGTGGCCTGCTCTCATGGAGAATGACTGTGTCATCATGAAGGGAGAAGCTGTCACCAAGAGAGGGGCTTTTGTACGGTGGCCTTGTGTAGTGACAATTCATCCCAAGTGTTTGATTCACAAGTTCGAGAACATTTATAAACCCAAAGATTGTATAAAAGAAGTTCATAAGGGTTGTTTGATGAGATTTCATACAAAGGAGAGGAATGGGACTGGTTGTGAAAGAACGGATTCTTTTCTTTGATTCATGAGTCTTCAGAATTTCCTGGCAGTCATTTCTTTGTCTATTGCTTTATTTGTAAGATGGAGGTGGTTTAGTTGCTAAGTCGTGTCTGACTCTTTACCACCCCATGGACTGTAGCCCACCAGGCTCCTCTGGGATATCCCAGGCAAGAATACTGGAGTGGTTGCCATTTCTTCCTCCAGGGGATCTTCCCGACCCAGGGATCGAACCCACATCTCCTGCCTTGGCAGGCCATTCTTTACCACTGAGCCACCTGGGAAGCCTCTTTATAAGATAGAACTGGTCCTATTTGCCTTTTTCATCTTATAAAAACTGCTATTATACTATGCCATTATAAGGGCAAAGCCTTTGAGTTCACTTGTTGGAGGCTTTCTATATTTCTAAGCATTTAAAAGTGATTGATTAACTTTCAGGACACAGTTGGTCAAATATTTATTGACAGTTCTCTGGAAATATGTCCTGTTTGGAATGTGTCCTGTTTTTCTCTCCTTGGTATGATGTGTAAGGAGGGGAGGGATGGAGAAAAAGAGGGCAGAGGAAGTAGGGAGAGAGTAGTCAGTCAGTTTCCTATATACATGAGCTGTAGAATGCTTTGAACAAGTCAAATAATTGGACAGCCTTCAAAGTGGAATCCTAGATATGCAAGTGTGTGAACATGTGTGTGTTAAGGTGGGGATTGGGTGTTGGAACTGGTTGCTGTGAATGCTTGGATATTCTGCACATTTCCCATGATGGAGTTTTACCCTGTCCTTCCTAGAAGGAGGTAAGTGAATTCTGGAGAGAAGCGCCTGGGTCCAGAGCAAAGCCACCATCTGGGTGGTCTCAGTTCCTGCCCTCTTTGACTTGGAGAAGACAGGAAGTGTTTCATGGCAGCTTTTCACATGCAGAGTGTGAGAAGCAGAGTAGTATATTTTAAAAGAACTTAAGGAAAGGATTTTTGCAGCTTAAACATCTCACTAGAGCAAATAGTATCTCAGTGAAATATTCTGTGCAATGAAAGCTGAGGCTGTAGAAATTGGTTGTGTTGACTTGAGAACCACGCATGCTCACGTGAAGTGATCTCATAAAATGTGCTTCTTGCCCTTAAAATAATCACCCTCTGTTAAGAAACTCTTAATGTAGACTGTCTGCAGTATACTTTGTAAGGGGAGGAGAGGAAATAGCCACTATTTCTATGTTCTGCATCAAATAGCAATTGCCTTTTAACTTCCTTTGTCTCTCTCCTTAAGTGCACCATCAGTATTTACCCAAGCTGAAACTCCCAAACTTAAAGAAAATACCCTAAAATCAAAAGCAGAAAAGCAAAGTGTTGGATGAAAGGATCTGATAAGAAGACTTTGACTACTAGATTGCACTCATTATAGGAAATAATTTTCTTTTTTGAGCCTTGATTTAGTTAGAGAGTAGAAAGTCCACAGTGGTGATTCACTCATGCACTCATTCATTAATTCATTTTATTTGGTAGTTATTTACAACCCTAGCACTCTGTTTAGGTGCTTGGGATCCAGCAATGAACAAAACAGCAACAAATTCCTGCCCACATGGAGCTTACATTCTCCAACAGTTGAAAATGTCAATGTAATTTCTAACAGCTTCTGCATCAAAACAAAGTTCTGTTGCAGGAAGGGAGACCCCTTCCAGGGCCTGAAACTGGGCTCTTGTCTAACACTCAGAAATAAATTGTCCGAGGAGACACGTGTGCTGACAAAGCAAGAGATTTTATTGGGAAAGGGCACCCGGGTGGACAGCAGGAGGGTAAGGGAACCCAGAACTGCTCTCCTGCGTGGCTCACAGTTGGGTTTTATGGTGATGGGATTAGTTTTCAGGTTGTCCTTAGCCAATCATTCTGACTCAGAGTCCTTCCTGGTGGTGCAAGCCTTGTTCAGCCAAGATGGATGCCAGAGAGAAGGATTCTGGGAGATGGTCGGACAGGTGGTGTCTCCTTTTGACCTTTCCCAAACTCTTCCATTTGGTGGTGGCTTATTAGTTCCATGTTCCTTACCAGGACCTCCTGTCATAAAACAACTCATGCAAACGGTTACTGTGGTGCCTGGCCAGGGTGGGCGGTTTCAATCAGTGTGCTTCCCCTAACAACTCCCCCCTGAGAGACTTCATACTCAAGATACTTCTTGGGAATTGGGGCGGAGGTCTCTTTCTTCTGTAACATTTTCCTGCTGTGCATGGGCTTAGGCCTGCCTCGCAGAGCAGAAGTCTCTCTCTACCTGATCTAAGTCAAGGTACTTTTTGCCTAAAACCAGCATTTACCCTTGTAATAACAGCAATTTAGTTTGAAACTGTTGGCTCCTCTCAGAGATGAAATAGACAGGGGCCAATTCCCAAGAAGTATCTTGAGTATGAAGTCTCTCAGGGGGGAGCTGTTAGGGGAAGCACACTGATTGAAACTGCCCACCCTGGCCAGGCACCACAGCAACCATTTGCATGAGTTGTTTTATGACAGGAGGTCCTGGTAAGGAACATGGAACTAATAAGCCACCACCAAATGGAAGAGTTTGGGAAAGGTCAAAAGGAGACACCACCTGTCTGACCACCTCCCAGAATCCTTCTCTCTGGCATCCGTCTTGGCTGAACAAGGCTTGCACCACCAGGAAGGACTCTGAGTCAGAATGATTGGCTAAGGACAACCTGGAAACTAATCTCATCTCCATAAAACCCAACTGTGAGCCACGCAGGAGAGCAGTTCTGGGTTCCCTTACCCTCCTGCTCTCCACCCGGGTGCCCTTTCCCAATAAAATCTCTTGCTTTGTCAGCACACGTGTCTCCTCGGACAATTTATTTCTGAGTGTTAGACAAGAGCCCAGTTTGAGGCCCTGGAAGGGGTCTCCCTTCCTGCAACAGTTCCATTAGCCCCAAGAATTTGAATATCCCAAAGTTCATTGTAAGGCGATTTCATTGAGAAATATCCTAGAATTATTGTCAAATATTGGGCAGCTATAAGAAATTAGTGTACCTCATGCAGATGACCAGTAACAGGCAAGTGTAATCATGTCAGAAAACTTCTTGTTCATTCTATGGGATATAAGTATTGTTTTAAGCCACATGGGCTCTTACAAACCATTGACTATTTTTCTCTCTTTTTTTTTTTTCAGTGGAATTCAGTACGACCTATAAGTCGATGTCGAAGCAGGAGTTTGAGCCCCATCTGCCCTCGTTCCCGTATTGGTTTAGGCATGGTACCGTATCTGTCTCATTGTTTTTACACAAAATCATCTTATGTATTTTTTCATCCACAGTTACCTATAAAAGAGGTGATGGTAAGTCTGGAGGTAGAAAGAGAACCTGCTGAAGTCAGCTTAGATTGATTTCTATCTGACCTTGGGCTAAGGAATTTATCATTCTAGAAAGAAGGAAATAGAGGTAGTTTTTTTTTTCCTTTATTAGTTATTTCATTGCTTTTTTTAATCTTTAAATGAAAATGGGTTATTAGCTATCAATTAGTCTTCTGAACAGAGAATGGGACATCTTAAGTCAACTGATCTCTGCACACACCAGTCCCTGGTTCCTCTAGAAGTTCTTGTATGAACTTGGAGAAATTGCTCAAATGATCTGGATTTCAATACTGTATAAAAGGCATTGCAGGTATTGATTTTCCTCCAAATTTCAAAGTAGGAAGAATTAAGATTAGTCTCTGTATATTTGTTCTTAGGATTACTAATAAGTCTGTCAAAGAAAAAAAAAAGCAAAAACACCTCTGAAGACTGTGGCAATAATACCCATAAAACCTGACATTATTATGAATCACCACTGTTCATTCATTCAATCATAATATTTAGTTAATGCCTTTCGAATACATGTCTGGACCAAGACATGTGGATACCAGATAGGCTAACAATTTGCTTTTCCTTCAAATAAAAATTCCTTAAGTATTTGTTCAACCTAGTTTTGGGGAGAATGGTGAAGAAGGAGGATCGCATTTGTCAAGGCTCCATTTCTCTGAAATTATCTCTAGTGATGCAACTCTGGCCCTACACTTCTAAACCCCTCTCAGCAAAACATTATGTTTAATAAAGTTCCTATCAAACGTTTCTCCTGTATTGCGTTGATGCTAGACTAGGAGGAGAGGGGCAACACACAAATGATTAAAACATGTTCTCTTTCCTGAATGGGTTTCAGTATAGGAAGATCAGTATGGGAAGATCAGTATGATTTAAACAAAGTAACTGAATGTGGTATATGATAGAGTCCATAAAAGAGGCACCGTGTACTAAAGCCTTCAGAGGAGGCAGTAATTCCCTCTGGATTTGGTTCATGGGGGAGGTGGTATGTGATCTTACAGAGTTTTTATGGGTTGGGGAAGACTAACCATAGGGACAAAATGGCCTGAGAATGCAAAGGCATGTGTCAGACATGGTTCTTTTGCTCTTGCAGATTTTAATATAACTTAATTATCTTTATTGCCAAAGAAATATTCACCATAGGTAAAAGCAAAAGGATTGTGCATTAATGGGCTGATAAAGAGACATCTTATGAGTTTTATACCGGAAGAATAAAAATTCTCCTCATCCTAAGAGAGTGTTATATCAGAAGCAAGAGCAGTATTAGCCACTTGTTCTTAGCCATGACACATTTTGACTCTGGACACTCAGTGGAGATTTATCAATGGGCAGCGTCCCTCTGTGATAAGTACCTATACATGTTTGAGCCCCTCCTCTTTCTTTTCTCCGTGGGTAAACGAACTCTGGACGGAGGTTCGTGACATTGTACAGGAGACAGGGATCAAGACCAGCCCCAAGAAAAAGAAATGCCAAAGAGCAAAATGGCTGTCTGAGGAGGCCTTACACAGAGCTGTGAAAAGAAGAGAAATGAAAAGCAAAGGAGAAAAGGAAAGATATTCTCATCTGAATGCAGAGTTCCAAAGAATAGCAAGGAGAGATAAGAAAGCCTTCCTCAGTGATCAGTGCAAGAAATAGAGGAAAACAATAGAATGGGAAAGACTAGAGATCTCTCCAAGAAAATCAGAGATACCAAGGGAACATTTCATGCAAAGATGGGCTCAATAAAGGACAGAAATGGTATGGACCTAACAGAAGCAGAAGATATTAAGAAGAGGTGGCAAGAATACACAGAAGAACTGTACAAAAAAGGTCTTCATGACCCAGATAATCATGAAGGTGTGATCACTCACACTCACCTAGGGCCAGACATCCTGGAATGTGAAGTCAGGTAGGCCTTAGGAAGCATCACTACGAACAAAGCTAGTGGAGGCAATGGAATTCCAGTTGAGCTATTTCAAATTCTAAAACATGATGCTGTGAAAGTGCTGCACTCAATACGCCAGCAAATTTGGAAAACTCAGCAGTGGCCACAGGGACTGGAAAAGGTCAGTTTTCATTTTCATTCCAATCCCAAAGAAAGGTAATGCCAAAGAGTGCTCAAACTACTGCACAATTGCACTCATCTCACATGGTAGTAAAGTAATGCTCAAAAGTCTCCAAGCCAGGCTTCAGCAATGTGTGAACTGTGAACTTTCAGATGTTCAAGCTGGTTTTAGAAAAGGCAGAGGAACCAGAGATCAAATTGCCAACATCTGCTGGATCATTGAAAAAGCAAGAGAGTTTCAGAAAAACTGTGTGGATCACAATAAACTGTGGAAAATTCTGAAAGAGATGGGAATACCAGACCACCTGACCTGCCTCTTGAGAAACCTGTATGCAAGTCAGGAAGCAACAGTTAGAAGTGGACCTGGAACAACAGACTGGTTCCAAATAGAAAAAGGAGTACGTCAAGGCTGTATATTGTCACCCTGATTATTTAACTTATATGCAGAGTACATCATGGGCTGGAGGAAGCACAAGCTGGAATCAAGATTGCTGGGAGAAATATCAGTAACCTCAGATATGCAGATGACACCACCCTTATGGCAGAAAGTGAAGAGGAACTCAAGAACCTCTTGATGAAAGTGAAAGAAGAGAGTGAAAAAGTTGGCTTAAAACTCAACACTCAAAAAACTAAGATCATGGCATGCGGTCCCATTACTTCATGGCAAATAGATGGGGAAACAGTGTAAGACTTTATTTTGGGGGGCTCCAAAATCACTGCGGATGGTGATTGCAGCCATGAAATTAAAAGACGCTTACTCCTTAGAAGGAAATTTATGACCAACCTAGATAGCATATTAAAAGCAGAGACATTACTTTGCCAACAAAGGTCTGTCTAGTTGAGGCTATGGTTTTTCCAGTGGTCATATATGGATGTGAGAGTTGGACTATAAAGAAAGCTGAGCACCCAAGAATTGATGCTTTTGAACTGTGGTGTTGGAGAAGACTCTTGAGAGTCCCTTGGACTGCAAGGAGATCCAACCAGTCCATCCTAAAGGAGATTAGTACTGGGTGTTCTTTGGAGGGACTGATGTTGAAGCTGAAACTCCAATACTTTGACCACCTGATGCGAGGAGCTGACTCATTTGAAAAGACCCTGATGCTGGGAAAGATTGAGGGCAGGAGGAGAAGAGGACAGCAGAGGATGAGATGGTTGGATGGCATCACCAACAAAATGCACATAGGTTTGGGTAGACTCCAGGAGTTGGTGATGGACAGGGAGGCCTGGTGTGCTGCGGTTCATGGGGTCACAAAGAGTTGGACACAACTGAACAACTGAATTGAACTGAACTGAAATAAACTTAAAACTTTTGATAAGAATAAAATGCATTTTCAAAGGTGAAACTATTGCCAAAATTCTGTCCCTATCCACCGTTATCTCTTTACAAGACTGGTACAAATGTTTTTGGTTAATCTGATTGACTTGTTTGAGATTTCATAGGCAGAAAAGCATCCATCTTTGCTAGTGTCTATTTAAAGTGAAGGCTCAGAGTAAGAATGATGCCTGCAGTCAATTATTTCTGAGCCATGTCAGGCTTATAGGTAACCGGGATAGCTGGTTTTTGCTCAGTGAAAGCAAAGATGAGATTTGACCTGTGGGTCTTTTTTGGCTTCCCAGGGACTCCGTTTAATAGGCAGCATTTTGGGCACATGAGATAATTCATATAAAGAATGTTCCAGAGAGTATTTGATAATTTTGGTCTTAATTAATCTTCATAATTATAATAATATCTTCTGGAAGTCATGGAATTCAGTATGGCCAGTGAGCATCCAATCTCAAAAAATGTTTAGCAACTGTTAACAACCACCAACACAAAAGCCAACAAAACCCAGGCCACTGAATAATTTAAGCTAAATTGAGTATATATGCACTTTGGGAAGTATAATAGGAATCATAGGGCAAAAACTTCAGGGCTAAGCCTGTAGCTGTAAACTGCTTCAGAGCAATTGTTTAGCTGGATTTAGGGAAAAAAACATCAAAAGGGTTCATTGTTTGAGCTTCATCTACTGTGTAATTTGCATTACACTTTTATATTTTCCAGATATCTCGAAGCCGGAGTCCTTCTCCGATAAGATGTGGATTGCCAAGTAAGTGGGATTGTCTAGGTGGAGCAAGGTTTCTGTTTTTTAATGTTTCTCTTAGTACTCAGCATGGAGCAGCAATATGAATGTTTTGCTTCCTGGAGAATGGCAGGCTACGGTCCATAGCGTCCATAGGGTCACAGAGAGTTGGACACGACTGAGCGACTAACACGTTCGCTTTCAAACTTGGATTAACCACCCATGTTTTGTTTAGGTCTTCTCAAAAGAAAGTCTAATAAGTCAACTGTAATAATGAGCCCTTTGTTTTTCTCCCTAGGGTTTTAAAACCATCAGCCACGTTCCTCTGCCCAGGACACCTACAATGGCCAGCTTACCCAGTGCTTCCGCCTTCCTGCTGTGTTGCCTCAGACCTCACCTAAGCTAATGTGACAAGGCAATTCTGTGTATCACTTCACACAGAGAGTTAAATGTTTTGGCTTAGTGCATTTGTAACTGCAGATATATTGCATTTTATTTTATTTTTATAGATACAGATTCCATTAATTTGATAAAAACTATTGCCTAGGTGTTTAGGATCATATTCATTTGAAGCAAAGTCCATTATACAGGTTCAGGATTCTCAACCTGAAACACGAGGCTCTTTTATAACAGCTAAAGTGGAAAACTTTTACTGTGCTATGTCCAAAAGACAAGAAAAGTCATTTCAATTTGCAGACTGATCATAAATATTATAATTGGTGGTTTTAGATTTAGCTGGAAAACAATCTGGGCTGTTTTTATTTTCTTTGGGGACTTGGAAGACAGCCCCAGTCTCAAGTTGGGGAACTTATAGCATAACAGGGACTTCAGGCTACATGTACATGATGATGACTTAGGAAAATATAGTTCATTGGTTGGCTTCTCTTTTCCTACTTTCAAGTGCCTGGTTTGGTTTAGTTGAGCACTGTTGGTTGAAGCTACTTACTTGAGAGAGTTCTCTTGCTTCATAAATGTGGAGTGGTGATTTGGGTAGAAGTTAACTTGGAGATTATATGTTAGTTACCTTGTGTTTATCTCCTGGGAATGTTTCTGAATGGACTTTTAATGTACATGTGAAATATAAAAGCTATATCCTGACATCTTTTACCTATTCTACTTAGTTGGTTATAAACTCAGATCTCCTAAGAACTCCATCTGACACCGATGGTTGGGAGTGTAAACTGGTGCAGTCACTATGGAGAACAGTATGGAGGTTCCTTAAGAAAGTAAAAATAGAGCTACCGATATAACCCAGCAATGCAGTCTTGGCATATATCCAGAGAAAAACGTGAATTCGAAAGGGTACATGCACCCCAATGTTCATAGCAGCACTATTTACAACAGCCAAGACATGGAAGCAACCTAAGTATACATCAACAGATGAATGGATAAAGAAGATTGGTACATATATTGGAATACTACTCAACCATTAGAAGAATGAACTAATGCTATCTGTAGCAACATGGATGGGTCTGGAGATTACCATGCTAAGTGAAGTAAGTCAGACAGAGAAAGACAAATATTGTATGATATTGCTTACACATGGAACCTAAAAAAATGATACAGATGAACTTATTCACAGAACAGAAACAGACTCACCAGACTTACAGAACAAATTTATGGTTACACTGGGAGAAGGCTGGGGAGGGAGAGGCATAGATTAGGAGTTTGGAATTGACTTGCACACACTGCTGTATTTAAAATGAAATGCATTTCCATGGAAAAAAAAGAAAGGGACATGCCTGGAATGCAGAAGAGTTCTTATTGAATAGCTGATTAATAAATGACATTTAGCTATGCTAAACAATTAAAAAATAAAATAGCACTATTGTTTTTGATTTTTGCTTTGTGAAAAATTCAATTTAGAAAAATGTACTAAAGAAGAACAATTTTTTTTAAATCTTAAAAAAAGAACTCCATCTGACTGAAACTCTGAAACCCAAGGCTAAAAGCTAAGGGAACCATTTGTAGATTTTAAATAGAATGTCTGTCCCTTGATTTCTTCACTGTGAAGTACTGTTGAAAAAGTTCAAGCTCTTGATGGAATGATAAGTAATGTTCTTGCTTTTTTTTTTTTGGTCCATTTTAATGCCGTCTTTAAACTCACGCTTCGCAAATGACAACTTTTGCCGTGTGCGTTTGAGAGAGAAGCTCTGGATTGGTTCCAGCTCAGTTTGCGTTAAGTTTAGCACCAGAAGCAGCAGCTGGGGCTATTTGGGTGAAAACAGATAAAAACAAAATGAAAACCCCCACAGATAACGAAAAGAAAAACGTCTCTAAAGCATCTGTCTTTTGTGCTGGGACACAGGCGAGGGAGAGACCTCTCTAGCCTCCACCCCATAGACTGCAGCCCACCAGACTTCTCTGTCCATGGATTCTCCAGGCAAGAACACTGGAGTGGGTTGCCATGCCCTCCTCCAGGGGATCTTCCCGACCCAGGGATCAAACCTGGGTCTCTGAGCCACCAACTTATTCTGAAGTGCAAGCTTCATTGTTCTCCCTCTGTGTTTGTGTAGTCACCATTTTGAGGCAGGGCCGAGTGCTGAGAGAAGAGCTCAGTGTTCAGGCAGATCCAGTTTTGACTTGGTCCTCAGCTTGCTTGGTGGCCTGAAGCAAGTTACTGCACCTCTCTGAGCCTCACTTTCACCGAAGAGTGAGGCAGGTGGATGGGATCGGTAGTTACGTCAACCCTCCCAGGCTCAGCGCCTCCTTTCATAATGAGTTCTGGCTATTCTGAGATGAAGTTCAAAATTAGTGTGATTATAGGCATATATGCTTTTAAACAGTGGATACAGTACTCAAACTGTAATATAAACAGAAATAAAAGGAAATTTTTAATAAAACAATGTATTTCAACAAAAAGCCTTGGGTATAATGATCCTAGAAGACACAGTGAAGGCATCAGACACTTGCACCTGTATGTAGAATTACCAGCTACAAATGTAGATCAATGTGCATTGTATTGGTGACGTCAGAAACACTGATGCCAGGGGTTTTCTGAAATGGTGAACAACTCTTGGTGAAGTTTTGAATAAAAACTTACAGCAGTGCCTTGATTTGCATAGTAAATGCATGCCTGGAAAAGCTGGTGTATATTAAAACCATAAATCAATTACTTTGTGTTACGGGCTAAAAGGTCTTTTCTAAAATCTCACTAAATAATGAGAATGCCTACATATCAGAATTTTTTTTAGGACTGAAATGTGGGAATGCACCTGGTTGGGAAAAACATTGTATGTACTCAGTTTATTTGCTCTGTATCCTGTCATGCCACTTGCCATTTCCTAAGTCTTTGATTTGAACTGTAACTGCACGGGGCCTGGCAGTTAGTCTAGAATAATTTGTGGAAAGGGTCCAAAAACAGAAGGTGGCTGACCTATACTCATTTCTTCAAGGCATGCACCTTAACCTTGGTGACTTTGAAAAATGATAAACTTTTATTGTAACCTGGGTAAATGTTAGTTATTGTGTTATCAGTTCAACCTCTAATAATGAAATCAAGAAAAAAATTCTTCTGTACTTCTAAGTTCTTTGCAATGATATGCTCTCCTTGCAGATTCCCTTCATCTACCTCCCTTCTGTGAGGCCTGAACCATGGCTGCAAATTCCCTCAAAAAATATCAACAGTGCCTCTGCTCTGGGGTTGACTTTGTGATGCTGCAGTTCCCTGCTGTAGCATAATTGCCAGCTTCAGTTTATTCACAATTTATTGTCTTCATATTCGAGACACACTCTCTGAGTAGTTCTATACTGTTTTTATAGAGTTTTCACGCACATGATTTCAGTTGCTCCCCACAAGAAATCCAGGTGTCAGATCAGTTCAGTTCAGTCTCTCAGTCGTGTCTGTCTCTTTGCGACCCCATGAACCGCAGCATTCCAGGCTTCCCTGTCCATCACCAACTCCCGCAGCTTACTCAAACTCATGTCCATTGAGTCGGTGATGCCATCCAACCATCTCATCCTCTGTCGTCCCCTTCTCCTCCTGCCCCCAATCCCTCCCAGCATCAGGGTCTTTTCAGATGAGTCAGTTCCTTGCATCAGGTGGCCAAAGTATTGGAGTTTCAGCTTCAGCATCAGTCCTTCCAATGAATATTCAGGACTGATTTCCTTTAGGTTGGACTGGTTGGATCTCCTTGCAGTCCAAGGGATTCTCAAGAGTCTTCTCCAACACCACAGTTCAAAAGCATCAGTTCTTCGGCACTCAGCTTTCTTTATAGTCCAACTCTCATATCCATACGTGACCACTGGAGAAACCATAGCTTTCACTAGATGGACCTTTGCTCTGCTTTTTAATATGCTGTGTAGGTTGGTCATAACTTTTCTTCCAAGGAGCAGTGGTCTTTTAATTTCATGGCTGCAGTCACCATCTGCAGTGATTTTGGAGCGCCCCAAAATAAAGTTTGTCACTACTTCCATTGTTTCCCCATCTATTTGCCATGAAGTGATGAGACTGGATGCCATGATCTTAGTTTTCTGAAAGTTGAGTTTTAAGCCAACGTTTTCACTCTCCTCTTTCACTTTCATTGAGAGGCTCTTTAGTTCCTCTTCACTTTCTGTCATCTGCATATCTGAGGTTATTGATATTTCTCCCGGCAATCTTGATTCCAGCTTGTGCTTCATCCAGCCCAGCATTTCTCATGATGTACTCTGCATATAAGTTAAATAAGCAGGGTGACAATATACAGCCTTCATGTACTCCTTTCTCGATTTGGAACCAGTCTGTCGTTTCATGTCCAGTTCTAAGTATTGCTTCTTGACCTGCATACAGATTTCTCAGGAGGCAGGTTGAGTGGTCTGGTATTCCTATCTTTTTAAGAATTTTGCACAGTTTGTTGTGATCCACCCAGCATAAAAAAGGTAAGGAAACGGTTCATCGAGTACATCATGCAGTCTTCCTTCAAGGCTTTTTATTTCAAAATAATAGTCCATTATGTTTTCTTTTGTTCCTCTATGGCCTACTGCATCATTTCTTTTGTTTATTGCTTTGTTTGTTTGTTCATTCATTCATATACTCGCAAGTTCAATGAGCTTCTCCTGGGTGATAGATACAGTATACACCACTAGGGATACACTGATAGACAAGGTACTGGCTCTTCTGAACTTAATGTCATGTTCAGTTGCATTCCTTTGTTTTTCCTGTCAGAGAGAGCATGTATGATGGAAGAAAGAAGAAAATACAGTCAGTAGAGCAAATTTAAGAGTGCCACATATAAATTGAATTAATTTGAGGACAAATATCTATATATAAGAAAGGTATGCAAGACAATGGAAGTATGGTGAACTTCATGAGAGAATGTAGCTCAGTTATGTCATCCACTCATCCTTTTAGCCATTCTTTTAACAAGTATCCACTGAAACTGTAATCCTAAGATCATCATGAACAATGAAATGAGTGTGGGGAGAGGGGCTTAGAGATCTGTGCAACACTTTTTGCCACCCTACCTTGTGTTCCACCTACTATATTCCTAAAAAATGAGGCAAGTTGCTGACCATTATAATTCACTTTTAGGCACCCTGAGAATCCTTCATGAGGCAGATTGCTGCCAACAGTTTTCTATAAATTTTGGGTCAAATGAAAGACTTCTTAGTAGTGTGACTTTAAATAATATCATACCTACAATTAAGGGTAATATGTTATGGAGATTCTAAGAAACTAGTATTCCAAACTGCATTAGGTCATTGAAATGTGAGTCCAGGGGCCATATGAATAAGTGACATTCAATATATGCCATTAAATACCAGAGTGGTGAAGCCTTAATGCAGTGAGTGAATATGGGCCTTGAAAATGAAGCTGCAATGAATTTTCTTCTTTCAAATGCAATGTGATTGGGTAATTTCATGCTCAAAATTTTTCTCCTAAGGTTGCCAGAATGAACATCATACTTTCCACAATATCACTGGCAATTAGTATGTCAGCCAGGCAGCTAACTTCATCTCCTATTAGGTGAGCAACAAAAAATATGATAAATGGGTATGTTACAGCTTCATTTCAGTATAGTTTAAGCCATAATTTTAGTGAAACAACCAAAATAATGTCTTGCAATGTGATGTGAAGTATATTTTGGAAAAGATAGTAATTGTCAGAAGATCTTGAGCGCCACTGGATGAAATTGACCCTTCTGCAATTGACTTCTGGTGTTGGAGTGCTGACGCTGCTTCCGTCTTCCTGGACCAGGGAACCCAGCCCTGCAATGTGTTCCCTGGTCTTCACACTAAGTGTCTCTTTGGGATTCTTCAGAGCCTTGAATCTTCTACTGTTTGTGGGGAACTTCAAGGAGAATGTCGTGTCGATTCTCCAAATTTATTTTTCCATGGAAGCCTTTTTCTTCATGGAGTTCTTGAAAAGGTGCTGTTCTGGAAGACCTATTTCAGGAAATGCTTCCTAAGACCTATGTTTTCTAGAAGTACAGATGCCATGACCATTGGGAGTTAGATTTTATCAGCTTTCACAAGGGAGGGAAGAATTCTGACTCTGTCACAGATAAACAGACTTTTCACCCAATAAATTTACTATGGAATAAAAGGCTCAGAATGGAAATCTCTTATTTATGTCTATATTTTTATATCTTTATACTTTTGCTTAGCTTTTCCTCTCCTTTTCTTCACACTTCTATCAATTGTATCATAAAATAAGATTCCCTTGAACTCAGTGTTTATGTTGATGTTGCTTTTCCAGCATTCCATGTTTCTCCTTTAATCCCTTACATGTTATACCTTGACCTTCACTTCTGTTTTCTCATTCTCTTCTGCTTGCTTTTTCAGGATCTTGTTTTCCAAGTTAATCTTTCTAATGCAAATCCATTTACATTTCTTACAAACAGGCACCTAAACTTTAATGTAATTATGAATCAATGAAAGAGAAAAATGGGTATTATTCAAAATTAGAACACTAAATTGCATTCCTTATAAAGATGAATTTGCATGCTGATTCATATAAAGCATGCATTTTGTAAAAATTTTTAAATAATTATTTTCTAAAGTTTTGAATATTTTGGTTATTAAAAATGATGATTCTTAAATTATACTTAACTTCCAATAAGTCTGAGTAGTGATTATACTTACATCTTTAGTTACTTCAGTAAAAATGTTGACTAATACTTCCCAAATTTGTTTGATGATGAAAATCACTTGGCAAACTTATCAAAGAGAGATTCTTGTATGTCACTCCATGCACATTGAATCAGAATCTCCAGGGGCATCTGTATTTTAACATCAGCAGACAAGTTTGAAAAACACTGGTCTAGGTCTGGCTTTAATGACTTACAAGCAGAATATTACAGAAATAATTTATTGCATGTGTTATGCTGTCCTTTATTTTCTAAATGGAAAATAATAAATTAATTTAAAAGCCTCTGAGAATATTAAATGACTTCCTGTACTCCAATAATAGGTAAATTACTGACAATTTAGTATATACATTTTTCATCTGTATACATACATATAAAAATGTTGCTATGTAATTCGATATTCAATAAAAGAGAACAAAAGAGAAGAGAAACTTTACTTTTCTTCCCTAGAGGTTAAAAATGTCCTCTCTTGCATTTCTTGTTTAGATAGCTTCTTTGTTGAGCTGTCAGAATATGTATTTCCTAAGTCATTCCCTTCCCCCTGTGTTCACTGTGTATCATGAGAGACTCACAGAACAACGGGTCCCCGTTGGCCATAGTTTGTCTAGTCGTGGTTGTCTGCCAAATGGAGCTAGTCACCTGGATGAGTCACACTTAGGAGCAGCTTTATGATCATTCATATGCGTCTCTAGAGAAAATCTAAAATAGAGTGGAAGCATTAGAGCTCACAGTGGCCCACCTCAACTGGAGTCTTCCCAAACTTTAAATAGAGGAGACAGATTTGGCCTTTTCTGTGTACTCACCAAATGTCTCAAAGAGAAAATTGGAAATGAACCTGTCTCAGTTTATATTCATAAAGACTAAAGCATTTTTTCTGTTTGCAGGGCCCAATAACATCTCTCATCATTACAGTGTCTTGGTGTTGAAAGTTCTGAAAAGCTCCAGGAAAAAATATTGATATAGAGGAGCCAAACTGAATATTTGAAATACATGGTGCTTTGGTAGAAATAATGATTAACTTTTTTCTTAATGTTTTCCTTGTTTGGTTTATCTTTTCTTCAGTGAATAGCCAAAAGTGGGCCAAAGACAAAACAACATTGATTATTGGAAACATAATCAAAGTAAAATTGGGGAGGAGAGATAGCTGCCCCCTCCTTAACCAATTTGATTCACAATTAAAAGAAATTCTGCACTATAAATCAATTCCAATCTTGTCTCTTTAGTTCACTTAGACTTGGGATATGTATAGAGGTAACCACCAGATGGCAACATTGCTTAAGAAATAAGAGGCTATTAGTCATCAGTACTAAGACTCGCTAGAGAATGGTAAAATCTCCTTTGGTAAAATCTGTAATTTAATTACTAGTTTTACAGCTCTCCATAAATTTGGAGAACAACTTAAATTGATGGAGAATGGCCAGGCATAAAGTACAAAGAGTGTGATAGAAAATGTGAAGTGTTATATAGCTATCATTATACCTAAAGAAGGATTTATGCATTTGATCCCCAAGGCTCAACAAGCAATTCCTGTGCTAGAATAAAGCTTTCTCTGTGTTGACTTTAAAATTTCTTTATGCAACCTAACGCCATCATTTTGTTAATCTGGAGTTCTTACTGAAACATAGTTCAATTCCTTAATAAATATTTTTATTATTTTTATATAATACAGCTCTTTGCTATACTATATATAGCATATAGCTCTTTGCTCTTAAACATGGAATAGGAGAAACTGAAAATTTAATGATCCTTTAAGATTTCCAAGCTAACAGTTTGAGAAAAACTGTTAGCTTTTCCCATGGTCCAAACTCCCCAGGTCCATCCTGAGCAGGGAGGTCAGTTTCAGAAACCCTTAGGGTTATTCCAAACAAATAATTCAGTTTTCACCTGGAAGATAGAATAATATTGCTGAGAAACTCTCTATGAAATTACAGGAACTCGCCAGAATAATATTGTGAGCATTTGAAAAAGTCACCAATAAAAGGAAGAAAATTTTATAGCATTAATTAAAACTTTATTAAAAAATAAATCTTTGCAGAAGCAGAAATGTTTCCTGTCAAAAATGTAGAGTTCCAGGCTGGGGGGCAAGGAGATAAATTAGGAGTTTGGGATTAAAATATACACACTACTATATATAAAATAGATAAACAACAAAGACCTACTGTACAGCACAGGGAACTATACTCATTATCTTGTGATAAGTTATAATGGAAAAGAATCTGAAAATATGTGTGTGTATATATATATGCATATATATATATACATATATATATAAAACCGATTCACTATGCTATACACTTGAAACTAACACAACATTGTAGATTTACTATATTTCAATTTAAAAAATGTAGATTTCCATTTTGGCTTCTCTAGACCTGCTCTGGCTTTTTTCCCCCTACTTTATTTTTCACAATTTTTCAGAGAACATTGATCTTAAAATTTGCATCTTTACAGTCAGTGAATATAGTCAGTGAAAGTCTCCCTATGGGAAATATCCCTTCTGTCAATGGCCACACATCTAAGTTTAAATTAAAATTCTAGTCTCCAAGCAAAATTTGATGACAGATTTTCTACTTTCTCTTCCTTTATGAGGCTTCAATCCAGTTCTTTCGGCTCTGTATCACCTGGGTCAGATTTTTGGGGAAAGGGTCAATCCCCTATTTTTCTAGTATCCTCAGAGATATAGCGGTTTTAGGATATCGTCGCTGATGGCTGGGAAAAGAAACTCTTCCTTGCTGTGGATTTATTGTCAATAACAAGGATGCTGTTAATTAATGTTATAAGCCATCAGCAAGCCTAGAGCTTATTTGCATTTAGTTTTAACAGTAGAGCATCTGTCTAATTCCTATTTAATTTTTAATAAATAGACATTGTGCTTGGTCCCAAGGGGGCAGAAGTCATTGTGGGAAAGGTACCTATTACTTTTAAACCAAAATAGTGTAATAGAACCTTTGCCCTAGAAAGAGAAAGGGAAAGTTTTGAATGTAAAAGGTGTAAGGAAAAGGGGTGAGGATTAAAGAAGGCTTGAAAGGGGGGCTGTTTTCAAAGACATCTCTTTGTTCCTAGTTTTGCTACCAGAACTATGTCTATTAAGAAGGCAAGGAGAGGTGAAAACACAGTGTCCATGTTCAGCTGTGCAGATTTTGCTTTTCACACCCACAGGGAGCCCCTCTCATTTGGATAACTGCTATTCAAAGTGCAAGCTGACAAGGAGCTGGGATCAAAATATAAATCAATGCACTGCTTCCTTCACTGAGAAAGTCTTGCTAAGGGAAAAAACAATCCAAAAAGCTGCACTAAACAGCATGGTTAGGGACACAGTGGATTTAAATTTTGATGCAAACTTGTTATTTAATGATGGACCTGAAGTCAATAGCTTGTGAGCTGACAGCAGTCCTGAGCAGCACTGGTTGGACTAAGATGAGAGCTGTGGCACCTGGGTTTCCTTGGTGGTCTCGTGGTTAGGAATCCACCTGCCAATGCAGGGCACATGGGTTTGATTCCTGGTCCAGAAAGATCCCACATGCTGCAGAGCTCCTGTCCTCTGAAGCGAGAGAAGCCACCACAATGAGAAGCCCCTGCTCACCACAACCAGAGAAACCTGAGTGTGGCAACGAAGACCCAGTGCAGCCAAAACAGAAAAACCAGAAGTGTCCCCTAGAACTGTGCATTGCTCAAAAGTGAAACTTACAGTACACTTGCGTAAGAGAAGGTGGCTTCAGTATGGGTTTAGTGGCATCTTCGAAGTTCTTGAAAGGTCTCATTTAAGAGGAAATTCTCAGAACCATTTTTGCTGTTTCCCTATTGAGGAGGATATAAACCTTATATAAACCATATTCTTCAAACAGGGCTTCTGTCTTCCTTCTGAGATTCTTAGGAAAATTATGCACTAGGGTCTGGACGAGGGTGAGGCAAGTGATAGCAGTTATACTATTAATAGGTACCAAAAACTCAGTAATAAAATATTTTAATGCAATAGTAAAAAAAAAAGTCAAATTTAAGGGGAAAAAAAATCCATGATGAACAAAGTGTTTGCCTTTTAAATAAAGACAGGATGATATTGATAATACATTCTTTTGGGTTCTGAATCCATGATTTGAATTGTCTGAAGTGTCTGCAAATTAATTCAATATGGCTAGTATCTCTGGGCTTTGATGAGAAAATCTCATTGTGATCTGTTTCTTTTCAATGAATCAGATTGGAAACAAAACAAGACCAAAAGTGGCAAGTTTCTTGTATCACATGAAACTGCATTTATCAACAACTTTTCTCTGTAGCCACAAAAACAAAACAATGCTAAATCTAGGAAATAATGAGGATCTGCTCAACTTCGGTTTCTGATCATGTGAACTGTGTTACACAGGTCTGGTCAATAAACTTGCTTTTGATTTCTAGGACTGTTTCAGACCAACACGGACAATAGGATGGAAGCACCAGTCTGATGTGTGGACTTCTGTACTGGTGGACCTAAAAGTAATTTCTAATCAAGTGTACTATGAATAAAAATGTAAAGAGATTTAATAACGCAGGAACAGTTTTGTTTGAGCAAAACAGGATCTCTGATATTCACACTGAAAGAGAACATCTTGTGTCAAGAAGAGAGACATTTCTTTGGGAAAGTCACAGATGAGGGCGTTGTTAATTATTGGATGCAATTCCATTGTCGGGTCTTTGATGGGGCATTCTGAAATATGTATTTCATTTGACTTCAGTCTCTGTGTACTGGAGAGTTGCCTTGAGAAGAGATGGCCCTCCAGCAATTGCAGGATGGTGCAATATATACCAGCATTTGAGTGATCTCTGCCTTGAAGAACAATGGGAACTTTAGAAAGAAACTGGAAAGTCATCCACTTTGGAGGTAATACTGATCTCCACTAAGCCTCTTGGAAACCTCGTTCCTAAGAGCCAGGAATATGTTTAACTGAACTCATAAATTTCAAAATATTCTTAATTGTGACAATAGAGTTTTTGAAAACAAAAGAAAGCTGATTTTTTTCCTTCTTCCCAAGAACCTGCAGAACTATGTATGCTTATAACCCTGAGGCCCAGGGGCAATGCTCTGTTATGATTTTTAAACTTGAAGCAGAGGCCCAGGACCAACCCTGGGCTGCTGCCAGTCACACTGAACATGAACTAGGGCGTATCAGCAAAGCAAGGTCACCCCCCAAATAAAACAATTTAGTGTCTGTCATTTTAAAAAAATACTATAACTAGCTTTAAGGAAAAAAAATAATTTTTTTAGAGTTCCTTAAGCTTTTAGACTGTGAAAAATATTGAGTTATATGAGGGTGGGGGTGGGGGTTGCATTATAATTTCTTCAAGTTTAAGGTCTTTGAAGGCAAAGTAACACACACATACAGGTGCAAAATGCCAAGCCAGACTGTCAACTAAGGCTTTTAGAGATGGTCAGCCAGCTCGCCTGATGAAGGGGTTGCTTTTATTACCAGAAACTCTGACTAGAAAACAGGTCCTTCATGTCTGGAGGATTCCCTTTGCTCCTGCCTCTTCTTGCCGGTATGATGACGCCCTCCACCGGCAGAAGCGCTCTTCACAGGACTCCGGGCAGAGCCTGCCCCAGCTCCACAGCCTTTGTCTGACGAGGGAATATTAACCCCAGAGGTGGCTCCTTTAGGGCGTCTCAGAGCCGTAGAGAAGTCACACCAACCGATGTGGCCACTAATGGGACTGGTGTGGCACTGTTTCCATTAATAGAATACTTATCTGGGTTTTACTGAGAGAAAAGAGCTGGGTTATCTACTCCCTCACTTTCCCTCTGGCTCAGTTTTCAGCAAGGCAGACTCCTGATGCACTGTTCAAAATGCAGGGCTACAGGTTGGATGCATGAGACACATGCTCAGGCCTGGTGCACTGGGAAGACCCAGAGGGATGGGATGGGGAGGGAGGTGGGAGGGGGGACCGGGATGGGGAACACATGTAAATCCATGGCTGATTCATGTCAAT